AATGCATCATTGATTGGCTAACTGTCTGAAGGGGAAGAGCATTCGCTGCAGTGTAGCTTATTGGAGCGAAGGTTAGCCAGTATAACACTTTTCCCAATAAAAAATACAAATAATCAATTTGCTATTAATTAAATGTATGATAAATTTTTATTAAATGTATAATAGAGTTTTACTCCCTCCATTTCATTTTTATTGTCATCTAGATTTATTTTTTTTGTTTCAAAATAATTATCGTTTTCAGTTTTCAATACAGATTTATGATAGCTTTTTCAGTTTTATCCCTACTTTCTTAGCTTATTAATTACTCTTATCAAAAAAAAAATGTATTAATTAAAGGTAAAATATAAATATTAATTGTTTTCTTAATATGTGAAATCATCAAAAATGACAATTAAAATGAAACGAGTAATAGTTTTTCTTTAAAATATGTGAAAATCCTTAATAAATTTTTTATTGAAGAGATTGTTATTTACAACATAGAATTCAACATCCAGACCTATGTAATATTCATACATTCATAAACTTCAGTCAGTAATAACTCTTGTGTAATAAAAAATGTTTGCATAGTAAAATACAATTCTACTATATATATAATTAACAAATCGATCTAACTCAAACCTATGCAACCCTTTCATTTCATAAATATATTCCTTTTTGAACCAAAAAATGTATTTCTTTTTAGTTCGAATTCATAAATTTATTCCAAGTATACAAATGGGAAATTGCTCTATTAATTCCCAGACTATTTGCAATCGACAATTTTATTCCTCATCTATTGATTATGCAGATTAATTTCTCAAGTGTGATTTGACTATGCAAAATTAGAATTAAGAAAGTCAGCCGTAAAAAATTAAACAGGAGTCGTTAATATTGATTCGCTGGCTAAACGCGATTTTCAGTCCAAACCCAGAAATTCTCAATTCTCTAACCTAAAACTATTTCTAGTGTGAGAAGACAAATCCGGCAGGAGCTGTGAAAATCCGACAAAGAGAAAGAAATCCGACATCGAGATGGTAAAAACCTTTTACGGAACAAGGGGAAGACGCAAGAAAATATATACTCAAAAACAGCAACAACAATCGCGTTTGGTTGAATCAGAAGTCCCAACAGTAGTCATAGAAAGGTAAAATTTATGGAACTTGTGATTTTTATTCACTAGTGTGAGGAAATTAAAGATATTGAAACATGTTTAATTGGTTAGAGGGCACGAGATTCAGATGGTAATGTGTGTGAAGAAGAAACAACAACTATTGGTGAAGAAATGAGATCTCATGGAGAAGAAACAGCAAATATGGCTGAAAGTAGTGTGGCTGAGGAACAAACAGGCACTGTGGGTGAAGAAATAGCTAGCTCTGATAGTGAACAAAGTAGGCGTGAAGAAGAACTTGAAGGAGATGACTGTGAAGTTATCGTGAATATACTGCTGGATATAAAGAGTCTAAGCCTGCTTTGCAATCGAATAACGAAGAGTTTGTGGAAGTACAAGTAGAAGTTTGTGAGGGTGATGATTGATTAGCTCATTTTAATGAAGATGTCTGTGATGATGATGCAAATGCAGCAGCTTACAGTTCTGATGAGAGCGGTGATGATATATGGAATAATGATCATATTTTGGATCCAATATCAGTGATTATTGGGGGGAACATGAAGAACAAGAGAGGCCAATTAATTGTGATCTTGATGAGCTGCTAATCATAGGGAAGACATTCAATACTGCAGAGGAATTTAAATATGCAGTTCTCAGGTATTCTCTAAAGACGTAATATTATATTAAGTTCTACAAATCATCAGTTGATAGGCTTGGGGCAAGGTGCACAAAACACATAGAAGGTAAAAGCCCATGGTGAGTGTTCTTCTCTTTTGAGAGAGGCAGAAACAAGTTGTTGGTCAAAGTCTACATCGAAAACTATATCTGTGCAAGATCAGGCTACACAAAGGTTTTAAAGAGTGGAGCAATTGCGCAGCTGTATGAAGAAAGACTACGACTTAAACCTAAAATCAAATCACAAGAGATGGTTGATGAGATAAAGAGAGATTATAATATGATTGTGAGCGTGGATCAGTGTAGGAGAGCGAAGGCAGTGATTACAGCAAAACAAAAGGCTGGTCTTGAAGCTCATTTTGCTCGGATTTGGGGATTATCCGGAAGAGATCATTCAATCAAATACAGGATCAGCAATGGAGATGGAAACCATTCCTGGTCAATTTCATGGAAGCAAGCAAAGGTTCCACCGTCTATATATTTGTTTTGAAGCTTTAAAATCAGCTTGGACGCTATCATGTTGACCCATTATCGGATTGGACCTTGCATATATGAAATGGGATATCAAAGGCCAAATGTTGACTGCAGTTGGTAGAGATGGTGATAATATGATATTTCTTATTGCTTAGGCAGTGGTTGATATGAAAGATAATCCAAATTGGTTGTGGTTTTTCCAACATCTGAAAAGAGATTTAGGACTTGAAGATGGATCTAACGTTAAAATCATATCCGACAAACTTAATGTGAGTCTAAGTTTAAGTTTCTTATTTTTCGATGTTGTAATTATGTTTGTATAGTTTTCTTATTTCGTTTTCTTTATATGACAGAGAATACTAAATACAGTTCATGTTGAGCTTCATAAGGCTGAACATCGAATGTGTGCCAGACATATTCTGCAAAACTATAAGAAGAGTAACAAAGATATAGAGCTTGAGCGTTTGTTTTGGAAAATAGCAAGAAGTTATACACCAACAGCATTTGGAGATAATTTAGAAGAATTGAAGAAGTATAATCAGGGTGCATATGATTCACTGCAATGTACAACACCAACAACTTTGTCTCGAGCTTTCTTGAAGATTGGATTGTTTTGCAACTATAATCTGAATAACTTGTCAGAGTCATTCAACATAAATTTTAGAGAGTCAAGAAAGAAACTGCTTCTTGATTTTCTAACGGAGGTAAGGAGAAAATGCATGGAGAGAAACGCAAAGAGGGCTATTTTAACAAATAGGTGGAAGAAAAGGGTCACACCAAGGACAGACAAAGAGATTGAAGCTAATAGGCAGAAAGCTCGGAATTGTAAAAGATAGATGACCACAAGAAATTTGCATGAGATAGACTTTCATGGTTGTGCTTACACCGCTAATATGGAAGAGAAGACTTGTGGTTGTGGCTATTGGCAATTGAATGGGATACCTTGTATGCATGCTATGTGTGTTATCACAACAACAAGGTTAGAGCTTAATGACTATGTATCCGAGTACTACTTGACTTCAAAGTGACGTCAACTCTATGCTAACAGTATGAAGCCAGTACAAGGAAGGAAAATGTGGCGGAGGTTAGACCGATTACCAGTGTTGCTACCATCTTTAAGATTTAGTCATGGGAGACGTAATAGTTATGCTAGAAAAAAAAGTCCTCATGAGTCTTCTTCCAACCCAAACAAGTTAACACACCATTTTCCCACATTAATGAATCAAAATCACAAGTTCCATAAATTTTACCTTTCTACGACTACTGTTGGGATTTCAGATTCAACCAAATGCGATTGTTGTTGCTGTTTTTGAGTAGATATTTTTTTTGCCTCTTCCCCTTGTTTCATAAAGGGTTTTCACCATCTCGATGTCAGATTTTTTTTTCTTTGTCGGATTTTCACAGCTCTTGCCGGATTTCGTCTTCTCACGATAAATATAGCTTTAGGTTAGAGAATTGAGAACTTCTAGGTTTAGACTGAAAATCATGTTTAGCCTGTGAATAATATTAACGACTCCCGTTTAGTTTTTTAACAATTGGTGTTCTTAATCCTTATTTTGCATAATCAACTCAAACTTGAGGAATTAATCTGTACAATTAATAAATAAAGAATAAAATTACCGATTGCAAATAGTCTGAGAATTAATTGAGCAATTTCTAGTATACAAATAAGTAATTTGTTGGTTTTTATCAGTAAATACAAACTCCGCCAAAGTAAGGGTTGGTGATCAAAACTAAAAGAAACATGGACGAGAACTCGTGTGAGGTGTTACCATCGAACAATCAAGTAAATGCTTACTTTAATTTCAATTTTTTTTTATTTTGACGAATGACAACAAACACGCACAAGTATTTGTGTACATATACGTGTGTGCCTGGGCCTCCTATATATGAGTGATCAAATTGTATTGGATTTCAGCTACACAATCTTCTTATTTGATTCTCTCTCTTTCTTTGTTTCTTTTTCTCTCTCTCTCGTCTCTCAGATGAAGGGAACTCTAAGATACTTAGCAGGAATCGCTGGGCCAAACGGGTTTGGTTCAAGGTCTACAGCTGAACAAGTTACACATCAATGCTTTTTTCCTTATTCACATCTCACTGCCATTATCACCGGTTTGTTTCCCTTTCAGTAATATTATGATATACTATTAGAATAGAGATATAGTCACGAGTTGAGATGCCCAAGGGTCAAATCGTCTATGTAAGCAACACCGATATAATAGGTTTGAACCCTCACATATTAAAGAATATAAACATTGTGTAAAATGAACACATTGGGAGGTTTAATATCCTTTTACGTAATAAACAATGAAAATGATAATTTCCTAAAAATATTTGTGTCGAGTAGATATTCGTTCGTCCTTCCTTACACAAGAGAGGTTTCAAAGGTCCTCCATAGAACAAAAGAGAACAAAGGGTTTCAAGGATTAAAAACCGTAGATTATTTACCAAAATTCGTTACTCATCACCAAATGTAACAACGAACTTCTAAAATTTTAATGATTGGAAGATTGACTTTAATCAAAAATGTCTTGTACCTCCAAGAGGCCAGGGGACATCTAAATTTTCATTTATCATTTGGAAAATTTTCATTCTAATTAAATTTTATAAGGTTTTTTTTTCCCAATACTGATATCCGTTTAATTAGGAAAAAACTTTGCCGGCAAAAACACGATCTTTGTATTAATACTATATGAATATGTGTCTTATGTATGCCGGCGACAATATATGGATTTTGTCTCCATTGAAATTTGAAACATTAGGTATGGTTGGTTACAGCATATTTCCATATACAATTGATTTTTCCTTTTTGACTTTAATCTTTGAAACATGCATGCCTCGTCGTTACAAAACATTTATTTATTAAATTTTCTTTTAGCAATCAGCCTGCCCAAAACGGTACTTTATGCCATCTTTATGTTCCCTAATTTGTCGGTTGAAACTTTATATAAGAGTCGATGATAAGTTTTAAAGTGGTCTGCCTTTACTCTTTGTTTTTTATTTCCGCAATAAATAATCACGAGGGCTGCTTTTAGAGACTTGGATTATAAATAACTAATCACCCAATTGCAGTTAATTAGCCTAGTAATCTTAATTCAAATAATTTTGGAGAAAGTACTCCATTTTATTCACATGAGAGGCAAGACTAATTGCTAAGAAATGAAATGGTTTAGGTTATTATAACAGACTGTAGTTGTATTTCTTAAATGTTTCATGTCACTATCTAATAGGAGGAACGTCTGGGATTGGTGCGGAAACGGCGAGAGTGTTGGCAAAGAGAGGGGTGAGAATAGTGATGGCAGTAAGAGATATGAAGAAAGCAGAGATGGTGAAAGAGAGAATAGTGAGAGAGAACCCAAAAGCTGAAATTAAATTATTGGAGATTGATCTCAGCTCTCTCTCTTCCGTTGCCAGATTCTGCTCTCAGTTTCTTTTACATGATCTTCCTCTCAACATTCTCATGTACGTCAGATTTACTCTACTACCTACCTGATGCAACCATGCACGTACTGTCTTTTTTTATATGTTTTTTTAATTACCAAATTATATTTATATGTCTATACAATGAGGCTTCAATTAATCTAAGCTTCTAACGGAAAATATTTTGATGAATAATTCGCAGTAACAATGCAGGGGTTTTCTCTCCAAATCTTGAATTCTCAGAGGAAAAGATTGAGCTGACGTTTGCTACAAATTTTTTGGGTAATTTTGTGGAATGATGTGACACTTGACTATGTGTAATATATATACAATGTGGAGTTTAGGGAATTAATGATGGGATGTATAACTTTGCAGGACATTACTTATTAACGGAAATGCTTATAGAGAAAATGATAGATACGGCAAAGAAGAGCGGAATAGAAGGACGAATCATTAACCTTTCCTCTGTGATTCACAGTTGGCCCAAGCCTGATTGTTTTTCCTTTACTAAATTACTACATCCCATTAAGTAACCTCACATTCCTTTTCCATATATTTTTTTTCAATAATTAGAATTATATAAGAAAATTACTTTATGATTGATGTCAAAAAAAAAAAAAAACTAATTTATGATTTATGTTGGGCAATTGAAGGTATAACGGGACAAAGGCATATGCTCAGTCAAAGTTGGCAACAATTTTACATGCCAAAGCGTTGAGCAGGCAATTGAAGGTACATTCGAAAATTATATTTCTATTATAAAACTGTACTACTTTATATTTATATACTGGGAAGTTTTGTGTTTAATATGTAATATATATATATATATATATATATATATATCTGTTTTGAATTTGATGTGAGAAAGAGAGTACGTGAGTAAATAAACAAGAAGAGAGGAACAACATATGTTAAGCCACTTATTTACATTTACATTAACTCAGCATGAGTAATTGTAGGGGAAATATATTGATATAAACTAATAAAGATCAGTAGTATGTCAGTGAAATATATTTGACTAAAATATTTGGGTAATCATTATTCATCTAATACTTTATTTTTTAATTTTTTACAATTATTCACTTAAATATTAATTCGAAATATTGACAACTAAACGTGTTTACAGGACAGAAATGCAAACGTAACGATAAATGCAGTCCATCCAGGGATAGTTAAAACTGGAATTATCAGAGCACACAAGGGTCTTTTGATAGGTAAATAATACTTTTTCATATACATATATAGAAGTGCAAAAGAAATATAAAACAAAAAAAAGTATGTAAAACCATGATGTGGTTTGATGCAGATTCTCTGTTTTTGATAGCTTCGAAGCTGCTAAAATCTATAAGCCAGGTAGACTTTCATACACATATATACCTTCCTTTATATCTAAAATAGTAAAAAAAAAAAAAAAAAAAAAAAAAAATATAGTACAGTCATGGCTCAACAAGTTCATGCTCTTTTTCTGACAGTAAACTTTTGTTTTTGTTTTTGTAGTTTTTGCAACCCAAATTAAAGTTTCTTCATCATCAACATTCATTCATGCATAGACTCATAAAAAATACATGGCACTAGCCGCACTACAGATTAGATCATATCTAGAAAGCATTAATATAAGAACTTTTTTTTTTGGAAAAATTAATATAAGAACTAACCGTTTTAATCAAAATAATAATAATAATAAGAACTAACAGTCATAACGTACGTACACCTTTTAATTGATTTTATAACTATTTAACTCTCTTGAATTTTTGCTATTGGGTTTAGGGCGCAGCCACAACATGTTATGTGGCATTGAGCAACGAAACCAAAGGATGGAGTGGAAAGTATTTTGCAGACTGCAATGAGACAAATTGCTCAGATTTAGCGAATGATGAGTCTGCGGCCGATAAGCTCTGGACCCATAGTCGTGCATTAATCCATGATTATTTGCATCAGTCTCAAATACATCCCCTACCTAATTTGTGTCTTCTGTAAATCTTAATACTAAATAACCCTTTTGTTTTTTTGGAAAAAAAACCATCAATTTATTTCTGTAAAGCAGTGTCCTTATAAACAATAATGATCTCATTATGTCTGTTTCCTCATGGATCTCAGCAGTCACGGAACACTTGTTCTCATTTCTTCCTGAGTGTTCGCAAAAAAAAAAATATTACTCATATTTATCAAAATTCATATCGTAGTTATAAGTTATAACATATAAGAAAGGTCTACGGTTATATATTAGTAATATAAAAACATTCGTATAATATAGGAGTAATATAATAATAGAAAAGACAAATATTTTCAATACTTTGCCTCAAGTTGATGAAGGTAGCCTCCACAAACCGGGGAAAATCAACCTGAAATCCACCACCTCAGCGTAACATCTATAAGATGATACGATTTTTTCTAGGGAAATTGTCACTCTTCGGTTGGTGAATGACATATGGATATGCCTTAAGACTTAGAAGTAATGAATTTCAAAGAACAAGGTGAAATGGATCGAAAGGTCGCAAAAACTTGCGGAATGGCTTCTGATTTACTCCAACTTGAACCTTTTATATATAACAACTAAGATGAACTCATGGTTGATTGAATGGATATGACAAACTAAACAATCTCTTGGATATGATACACCAAGACGAATCAAGATTTGTTCAATGGATATTATACACCAATGATCAAAAGTGTTCACAAGAAATAAAAGAAAATCATTATCAAAGTTGAAAAGTTTATTGTTTATTAAAATGAGATTACATGAGTTTAAGTAAAAAAGATACTAAGTAGACAAAGACTCTAACTTGTAATAAAAAACAATAGCTAACAAAGACTAAGAATAAGAAAATTAAGTTGAAATAACTCTTGAACTGAGTCTGCACTTGGCCCTTCAGCTGATTCTCTTTGCTCGGCTTGGGTAAGTGAAAAAATTTGGGTTTAGTAAATTTTTGATCCATTTTCCTTATTATAACAATTTCTGGAAAGCCTACTGGGATAAAACTAAGGAGAAAAAAAGTACAAATAATCATAAACCCATTAGTGATCTTCTCAGACTTGTATCAACACCAAAGTGGTTAGTGTTGAGTCTTCTCCATTCCAGTCGAAGTGATCTTTAGGTGTGAACATTTGTTTAAGTAATCCTCCAATTCCTTTCATGAATTTCTTAACTCTTGCTCGTGTCATAGGACTAACCGGTACAACTAAGTTATCTTCGACTATACGCTCATGCTCAAGCTCACCTACCAGCTCAACCTCTTTGGCACTATCAATGATCGCATCATCCTCCCCTTATTGAAAAGGATTTGATCTCAAATCTGGACCATTTGCCACAAAAGAGACCAAGTCAGAAACGTTAAAACTTGAACTAACATTATACCTGGAAGATCGACTTGTAAAGCAATGTCACTGATTCGCTTGACTATCTTGAATGGACCATCAACTCTTGGCATGAGTTTTGACATTATTTCTGCTTGAAACATTTCCTTTCTTAAATGAATCCATAAGAGATATCTAACATCAAAAAATTCTTGCATCTACCTTTGTTTGCTTTTTTTTCATAGTTCTTAGTTGTTTCTTCAATGTTCTTTCTAGCTTTCTCATAGATCTGTTTGACAAGATCAGCGTTCTTTTTTTTCATCCATACCTGTTCTTTCACTCAAAGGAAATGGGATTAGATCCTAAAGAGATAATGGATTAAAGCTGTATACTATTTGAAATGAGAAAAACTTAGTAGCAGAATGAATTGATTGATCGTATGCAAACTCCACATGCAATTAACATTCTTCCCAACTTCTCAAGTTCTTTTTATCAATGCACGCAACAAAGTATACAAGGTTCAGTGGACTACTCCAGTTTGACCATAAGTTTAAGGATGACAAGTAGTTGAAAACAACAACCTAGTCAAAGTTTTGACCATAGTGTCTTCTAAATGTAATTCCAAAACTCTCTATCTCTATCAGATGCAATAGTCCTAGGCATACCATGTAAATAGACTATCTCTTTGAAGAACAAATTAGCTATATGTGATGTATCATCAGTTTTGTGACAAGGTATGAAATGTGCCATTATCGAGAACCTATTAACCACAACAAAGATATAATCCTATCCAGTTCTAGTTCTAGGCAAACCAAGCACAAAGTCTATAGAAATATCATTTCACAGCTGAGGAGGGATAGGTAAATGAGTATACAAACAATTTAGTTGTACTTTAGACTTAGCTTGTTTGCAAGTGACACACCTTCCACAGATCCTTTCCACAGCTCTCTTCATGTGTGGCCAATGAAAGTGGTCTAGCATAACCTGAAATGTTTTACTAAATGCAAAATGCCCCATTACACCTACTCTGTGGGCTTCTGTGAGTGACAAATCGCCAATGGAACAGTTAGGCACAAATAATAGATGATCATAGAAAAAAATCCTTCATGCCTATTATAATTTCCACACATAAGCTTTTCACAAGCTTTGTACACTTCTCTAAACTCAGAATCTAACTCGTATAATTCCTTTACATTGTTCAAATCGTAACAACATAGCATATAGAGTAGAGATTAGGGTATAAATTTGTGATAATTCATCAACACCTACATATTCCTTACCTTGCATGTACTTGATAACATAAGGAAAATTTTCAATGAATTGAGCATGCCTCTTGTTAAGCTTTTGTTGACCACTTAAGTGCTAGAGTGACTCGTGATCAGTGTGTATCACAAACTCCTTAGGCCATAAGTATCGTTGCCATCTTTGGAAATTGAGAAGCAGGTTTTTATAATTACAGGTCAATAACCTAGTATCGGCTAAAAACCGATGTAGTATAGCGATATGGGTTTCATCAATCCATTAGGAAATTGTTTAACTCATTATGGTTATTATTATCCATTTAAGTCAAGCCAGATTAAAAATAAGATTCTATCAATACTAAACTCTAAGCAAGATTCGGGGTTGTATCACTGATATCTCATACATTTACATCATTTAGGCTTGCATTTAGTTTATATTTTGGTTCTCTTTTGCATGTTTTCCTTGTCTTTAGTCTCATTTTCTTCTCCTTTTAGACTTAGATTGCATTTAGGTTGTAGTTTGCATTTTCTATACATCAAGGATGTTTTTAGGTACTTAAGGAGCTGAATGGAGCAAGGAGGGAGTGTGGGAATGGTTCAAGAAGGTAGCAAAGCTGAGAAGAAGCAAAAGGAGCTAAGGAGGGCGATTTCTGGTGTTCCATCTATCAAAACTTCAAGGCCATTGATCAAAGAGTGATCGATGGGAAACCAACGAGTGCTCTATCGATCAAGAATTGAAGCCTATCAATCATAAAGTGATCGATGGGAATGCAACGGATGCACCATCGATCACTGCCATCGATCACTGAAGACTGATGAGAGACAGGACAAAGCCATCGATCAAGTGTATCGATCAAAGAGTGATCGATGGGAATGCAACGGATGCACCATCGATCACTCTAGATCGATACAGAACAGCCCGAACTTGCTTTTATTTATACTTTTGCCATTATGTTAGGACATTTGTCTTTTAGTATAAATAGCTTGTTCTAAGAATTTTTCATTAAAAAGTTTTGTTCTTGCTTAAGTTTTCTGGTTTCCTTTGAGTTTGTAAGAATAAATCTGTCTTTTTAATCAAAGTTTGTATTTTGATAGGGTCAGGTTTTACCCAAATAAAACTACTGCAAGTGCACAGCAAAAGCAGTTGTAGTACAAGGGGTTATCGAATCCCAAGGGAGTATGTAAACCACACTAGCGATTATAGATTCAGATTAAGCTAAGCGATAAATAATGAATGTAATTCAAAACAGTAAAATAAATGCAAGAGGGCGTTTTTATGCTTGTTCTTAAAGTTCAGAAGGCTAAAGGCGCTAAGTCAGGACAGTTCGCAGGTTGAATCCGAGAGTGTAGAATGCATGCAATCATTAATGAATTAAAACCGTCTTGAACATGAATCGCAAAGATATAACTAATCAATTCTCATTGCAGAAGTTATCTATGTCTAAATCACAGAGTTTCAAATCTCTTTGCAAACCCTAACAACCTAAACATGCAGTAATAATCAGGTTCAATTGTTCACAAAACTCCTAAGCCAAATCTCTTTGTACTAGGGCGTTTTGCTCATCTAATACTAGTTCAGGTGATTAATAATGCTCTCACATCTATCAAACAACCTAGGGTTTCGAAATCCAAATGATGTGTCTAAGAAATCGATATGAATGCAAGCACAGATGAAGAACCAATGAATTTCCTATAAGTTTTTAGCAATTCTACAAACTCTTCTTCAATCTTTGAAAAGCCCTAACTTAACTAACAAACTACTCAGACATGGTGATTTGAGAAAACATCATGAAAAGAATAGATTGCATAAAAGAAATAAGAAGTAGAAATAAAGGAGTTCAAAATCTGCTCTGAAGGAGTCTGATTTGTCTCTCCAAAAGCTCTGCTACAAATCTCTCTCTAAAGCTCTCAAAAATAATAAGATACAAGATCCCTGCCAAAAGAATAGCTGAAAAACCTAATATACAAGCTAAAACACGTTCTGGGATTTTTTTGCAAATACTAGAACTTTTGGGCCAAAACTGTAAATAATCCTCTATCTTTTAGAAAACAGCCACGACCCCTTCCTTTCTGGGTGACAAGCGTCACCAAAAGTGGTGACGAGCGTCACCCATATGCATACTTTTCTTCCCGAATTGGGTACTTCTTGGCTTCAACTCAAAATGCTCCAAAAGGCTCCAATATCTCCAATTATGCTCCAGACATGCTATAACCTGCAAAGACTCTTCTAGGACTCTAAAAAGACCAAAAAACTCAATAAAAAGGAATTATATCATGGTTAAAAACCATAAAAACCATGATATATCAACTCCCCAGACTTAGCTTTTGCTTGTCCTCAAACAAACATCAGACAAAGAATAAGGTCGAGGTTTGAAAACAAAAAACAGTCAGTCAGTCATCAGGAACACCACACTACTTTGAACTTTCGAATCCACATACCAC